CTACGAACACTACATTAAAGAGGGGTTGGAGAAGCCTGTGGAAATTATCAGGCACTACACAGGTCTTGGGGATCAGACTGTGAACCCTCAAAATGGCTTTGTGAGAAATGGAGTCACTGAAGAGAGAGTGCACATACTGGCAGGCAGCAGCCAATCTGGAGACTCTGAGAGTGACAGCGATTCCTTCAGCTCAGTGACTTCTTCCCAGAGCAAAGGAAATAAGTCTCATTTGGAAGTCTCTTTGGATACTCAGGTGAAAGGCTCTGAACCTCCGCCTGTAGATGACCAGATCTCTTTGGAACAACCTCTGAATGGAAATGATGCTCCCCATCTAGAGGAATATCAGGAATCGCCTGAGATCCCAGTGAGAACAAGGCATAAAGAGGGAGCTCATCAGAGAGTTAAGCAGAGCCGGAGGAACCTGCCCCGGCGCTCTTCCTATCGACTGCAGACTGAGCCCCAGGAAGATGGTTGGTATGACAGCCGTCAGGAAACACATCCCAGTTACTCTGACACCTACCAGGATTATGAAGAGTACTGGAGAGCCTACTACAGAGCATGGCAAGAGTATTACGCTGCTGCCTCTCAGTCGTACTACTGGAATTCTCAGAGACATCCAAGTTGGATGGCAGCCTATCACATGAATACCGTGTATCTACAAGAAATGATGCGTAGTAACCAGTGATTGTACGACAGACCTGAGACCAGCAGGCACTGTGGACAAGTGATACTTTTGGATGTACATCTTCCGTCACCTATGGTAGAGTGGCATTTGTTGGCATTTTTGAGGAACTTGAAAAGACTTGAGTCTGTACACCAGGAGACATCTGTTTTCAGATGGTTTAGGCCAGATATGTAATATAATCTTTTTCGTTTTTAAAGAAATTTCATCAGATTCTTCAAAGAGAATTTTTGGGACACAGAGCTCAAGGTCCCAAGGTTCTATTTTCTAAAAGCTGTTTCCAAAAGAAACAGTTAAAAAGGGGATATACATGCCACTGCTTACTTTAAATAAAAACAGTGAAGATTTGGAAAGCAATGTTAGTTTATGCTGTGGACTTCTTTACAAAACACCTGGACAGCCTTCTCACTGAGGTACATTCTTACAGAAATTTGTAGCATGGTAGATCAGAAAATCCCCAGTTCTTTTAGATTTAGGCAGGAAGGCATAGAAGCATTGCTTGAGATTTTCCCAAAGGTACTTGACTTGATGTGACTTGCTTCTAGTAAAATATTTGTTTCTAGTAAAACAATTTTAGCTACACATGTGAACATTTTTACTGTTCATCTTTTGAATGTCTTTTGTTTATGACATTGTGAAAGCTGTCCATACTTTTACTGTGTATTAATAGCTCAAGGTCCTCAGTGACTGTTGGTTAGTGCTCAGGTGGTGACTTGGTTATAGCGCTCTCAGGTGGTGACTTGTCATAGTGCTCAGGTGGTGGCTGTTGGTCATGGTGCTCAGGTGGTGGCTGTTGGTCATAGTGCGCAGGTGGTGGCTGTTGGTTATAGCGCTCTCAGGTGGTAGCTGTTAGAGTGCTCTCAGGTGGTGACTGTTGGTCATAGTGCTCAGGTGGTGGCTGTTGGTTATAGTGCTCTCAGATGGTGATGTTGGTTATAGTGCTCAGGTGGTGACAGTTATAGTGCTCTTAGGTGGTGATTATTTATAGTGCTGAGGTGGTGATGTTGGTTATAGTGCTCAGGGAGAGCAGCACTCTTCATCTTTCTTGGTTGCTGGATCATTCTATGAATCCAATGAAAATTATAGGTTGGCCCCAGAAAATTTCTAATGCCATAAACAGAATTATGAAGGTAATTACAAAGTTCATAGACCCATGGGACCCAAGTTAAGATCTGACTTAGTCTGTTGGTAGGCTGTTTTGTAGAAGCTGGAATTCATTCTCTTTTGTTCAGGCTCTTCTCAAAGAATGTCCTAATCTTGTGTTTTCTAGAAATTTCCCCCCAGGTTTTCTAATTCTTGCATCCAGATAGAAAGAGCCTGTTCAGAGATGGTGCATCTGTATAAATTAGAATTTAACAAAATTGAGATTGGAAGCTCTATATTCTTTCCTTTTTTCTCTGATAGTGTTTTTATGGTTAGGCTTTTGGTTTCCAAATGTCTTCTATAAATTGGATTTTTGGTGCGAGGCCCCTTTCTGTGTTGAGATGAGAAGGAACGCTCTTTCCTGTGTACATATTTGCCTAGATAGTATAAACACCCAGGTATCAGCAAATACAGCCCTGGTCATTTACTGTCCAACTCCCAGTGAACACAATCCTAAACTCCTTTCTAACTTGGGTTCCTGTCTTTGATTGGTAGATGGTTACTTTTACTCATAGGAAGGTACTTCCAAAAGTTTATGGAAATTGGAATTAAACGATAAGTTTATTTTGGTGCAAAAATTTCTAAATCCATGCCTATGAGGAGGTTTTAAGAACTGCATGAAAGATGTCTTATTAAAAAATTATGCATGGATTTCAAAACTTTTTTGCACCAAAATAAATGTCTTTGAATTCCATGTTCCATGACTTCTTTGTAGTATCCTCATGTATCAGTACTGTGTGTGTGTGTGTGTGTGTGTGTATGGTTTGAATTAACACTAGATAGCAAATCCATAATTAGGTTCAGTATCTCATTAAGAAGTAGAGATTTTAATTGCACATTTAAATAAAGATCCTGTCATTGCTGTGTGATTGGACTGTCTTTGTACCCTTTCCCCCACAATATAGCCAAGTTCACAGTTTGTCATTGCTAGGAGATTTTAATTAGGACACCGCCACATCTTCATTAGATTTGAGGTTACATAGTAGTCTTGAAATTAATTGAATTCTCTCTCTAGGTTTGCCTTATTTTGTATTTTCTTTTTTTCTCTACAGAAAAATAAGCTAGAGGTGAGCATATGCATAACATATGAAAATACTAATTGCTTCAGTTTCTGTAACCATTTACCAGGGAAATTTTAACTGTTAACCTTCCCAAGTAAGAGAAGCAGTTATAGTGGTGGGTATGGGAAGAATCTGCTGCTACTTGGGGGTGATTTAGCTTCATGTGGAAAAGATTTTTTATTTGGCATTGTCAGGGTGCACGTCCACATGATCTTGTTAGGAACCATAGATAGGCTGAAGAAAGATTCACTTGAAAATACTCTGTTGTGTAGTAAAGAGTACTTGTCCTGGCTGAGACCCTGCTAATATCTACTTTTTTTCCTCACTTTTTAAAATTTAAATTTGACAGGCAGAGACAGAGATCTTCTATCTGCTGATATTTGCCAAATGCTCCTAACAGCCAGGACTGGGCCAGGCTGAAGCCAGGGGCCCAAAACAAAGTCTGGGTTTTCTACATGGGTGGCAGGGACCCAAGTACTTGAACCATCATCATTTATTTCTTCCCAGAGTAGGCATTAGGAGAAAACTGGAGCAGGAGAGGAGTTAGCCAGGACTGCAACTCTGATGCGGGATGCGGGGGTCCCAAGTGGTGCATTAGCTTGTGTAAACGCCTGCCCCACTGTCTGTGTTTTAACCTTATGCTGGTTATTTGAGCTCTCAGGACCCAGTTTTTCATCAGTGAGATGAGGCACTGGACTGCAAGAATTTTAGGGTCCCTTCTACTTTCAAGATTTAATGATTATATGACTCTGAAGAAGAAAGATCCTCTGTTCAAGAAAAAGGATAATCAAATCTATTAATATAGAGAGGCTTTATAAATCCAGGTAATATCGTTGAGGGCAAGTATACATTGATTAAATATCTGAATTTTCAAACATTTTTATATCAATACACTTTCAATGATTTATATTAAGCTTTAACTTGGATTGGGCTTGTGGTATTAACATGTAGAGATCTTTGGGAAACCACTTTGTACAATTCTGACTTAGGACATCAGTCATTCTTTAGGTAATTAAAAGTTTCAGAAGCACTTAAACAGTAACATTTACTAACCTTTTAGAAACATGTAGTTTGAAGGTGAACTTCAGTCTCTGAATACTAAAAATAATTGAGCATGAATTATAATGCTTGTAGAGTAGTTTGCAGTTGTTTTTCCCCCTTCCCCTTAATTGTAAATCTTAGTTAATCTCTGAAAATGAGATTGTATTTTGAAGTTCTAGATATTGGAAATCCATCACAAGGTGATTCTCTTGTTTCGGCAGAATTTTATTATGCCTCTGAGCAAGCACCTCTGTCTTTTCAATGAAAAAGCACATGAATTGCTCAGCACACGTCTAGTTTCCAGTTGCTTGCCACCAGATTATTTGCGCTGTGGCCCTGTAGTGACACCTAGTGGGAGATGAGAACGTGAGCATCAGGGATTGAAACAGGTAGGAGCTGAGGTCATCCTGCATTTGCCTTAGTGTTCGGTTTCTGTTACTGTCATTGAGGGGCATCCGGCTGTTGTGGGAAAAGGGAAAGGATTTGCATTATTGTTGCCACATGGTGAACATGGAAATGCCTGCTCCACCACCTAAGTCAGAACTGCTAGAGTTAGAGCAGACCTTCAAGATACCCATCCAGTCCCTCCAGCTTTAAGATGAGAAAACAAGAAAAAGCAAATGGTGTGGTCACAGGAAGTGGTAGAGCTTCAACCTTTGCTGATTTTCAGGCTTTGTTCCAGACTCCATACAGCGTTTACTTTTGAGTTTTGCTTTTGATTTAAGTGGGATTTAAACACCTCAGCAGAACCAGTACTGATATGTAAAAGCAGATTTTCTTTCTGTACTACTGGATTGGGCCTCAAAAAACAGCTATAGACAAATGGAATCACGTGCTTATCTTTTAAATGTCTGCCAATTGGGGAGCATCCGGAAGTACAGCTTTATGCGACAAGAACCGCTGGGGGCCGCAGAGAAGGAGAAAGGGACGGGTAGGCCTTTAAGTACCCACCTAAGATTCTACAAGTCTTCTCTAGCAAGGTAGAAACCTTTGTTCAGATGACCCTTATTTTCTAGTGTACAGCCATACCTTTAGAAGGGAAGAACTGGTGCTAACAGAATCATCCTTAGTCATTTTAGGGTTTGTGGCACATAGTTTGTTTAATCCAGATTGGATACATCGGGTACAGCAGTGGCACACGACTCAATACTGTAAATGATATACATGGTTTAACATATGCACTACAGTTTCAAAAGAAGACAACAGGAAACTCAAAGAGTTTTTTTTTCCCATACAAAGTTTTCACATTTATCTTCCTGCAGTTTTGTACAGAATATTTCTTTGCCATTGTGATGTTGGTAAGCCTTTAAGCCCATTTATTATATGAAAATAGAAAAGAACACACTTGATGTTTTTCACGATAACATTAATGGGGGGGTGACCTCTAAGGAAAACATACTGGAATGTCTGGTTATCAAAAATATACCATCCCTCCCACCTCCCAGGTTTGTAAAATAGTCCATTGGTCCAGGTGCCCCGTCCCCACCCCAGGACTTGGGTCAGTGCCAGTGTATTAAGTAACCTGCTAAGATGGATGTCATCCCTACACTTGATGAGAAAGAACACAGAACGTTCTGAATAGAAAACAAGACTCAAAAGAACCCCTTGGAAGCTGTTTCATTTTCTGATAGCCACTTTCTCTCAATTTTATCGATGTTCTTCATGATGCTGTTTGGGCTCCAAGGGTCACGGGTCCTAATCATGTTTTTCCTTCATCCGCCACTCAAGCTTTGCAAATAATGAGATTTCATTAGGAAATAGGAGAGGGAAAGTAAAGGTCCTAATGGTCAGGGTTACCACGCCAACCAGTGTGGAAGGGGCACTAACAGTCTTACATGAACAGTGCTGCGATGCTTCTGCCTCGTCGCTGCCTGGTGATTTGACGCGGGAACCTGGGTGACCAGACTCCACTAATAACTTCAGAGTCTAGCGTTAGCTCAATTTCAACCACTACTTCTGCAAAATTAAAAGAGACAAAAATCTAGACACCTAATGTCTCACAGTACACTTTCCCTGTCTATATTCTAACAAATGATCTAATCCTGAATTGTAGGAATCTTACTTTGAAAGGTGAATAAGGTCCTCAGCAAATCCTGAAGTCAGTGCTGCCTTTTTTGTTTCTATGGATCAATGGTAGCTGTCTAATTTGTTTAAATTCTATGATACTGTAGAGTAATGTCTTCAACTGGCATTCAGAATAACTTGAACTTTTGGAAGGGATTCTATGCAATTAGTTCTGAGCTGGACACTAATTAGGAAAGCAGAGGATGGAGGAAAGAAATAGTCAGCTTCTGCAGTTCCTGGTTCTTCAAGAATGCTACCTCCTCCAGGCATTAAAGATGGAATAAGCAAGCCCCAGAGCAATGCAACATGGTGTGGGGGCAAAAACCCCAGGGCAAGATGACTTAAGTCCTGGGTTGCAGTCAGTTCTGCCACTAACTTGCCATGTGAACTCGGATAAGCCACTCGGCTTCTTCACACGTGTTTTGCTCTCTTTGAATCGAAGATTTAGCGACTTGACCTACTACCATCAGACTGTAGTAAGGATCAAAAGGACTTCAGAAGGCATGCTTTGAAATGCCATTGCCCTGGCTGCCTCTCCACGGTGAACAGTCAGCATGTGATGGAAAGAAACTTGACTGCTCATCTGTTCACCTTCTGACAGAACTGATAGGCCACAGCTGGTTCTACCCAGGGCATGATGGCTTCTGAAGTATGGTTTATGTTAGTCCAGCCAGGTGTGGCCAAGTAGTACCAACACTGACACCCGGCTATGTCTGTAATTATAGCGTGAATTCTTTGAAGAGTCTTCTCCAATGCATCACTGCTCTGAAAGGCAGTGGATGTGGTGGGAAAGGTGCTAGACTAACAGCCAAGGGACTCCTCTCGTATTCTGGTGCCAGCTCTTTCATTAAATCACTGCATGACCTTGAGCAAGTCAATTTCTCTGGGCCTCAGCTTCCTATAATGTGAAATGAATTCGATCTTAAGTCTCTTCTAATTCGGATACACTCAATACTATATTTCCCAAGTAGTCATTCATTGGACATTTGAATGTTAGCTCTCAGGTTTTTTGTTTGCTGGCTTCTTGTTTCCCACTGATGCTTCGTGAATGGGATAAGTGGTTTTGAGAAACTTCTATTATGCTGAAGTAGTTCCTGGACCATGAAGCTCAAGAGTCATCATCACCCCAGACAACTGTTGGCCCCCAGAAAATCCTGATATCCCGGTTCTTCAGTCACTGGCTAGTAGGCTTAGACTCAGCACACTTTGGACCTGTGTTTACTTATGAATAACCTTTAGGAGTGTAGTTTGGTGGTATGCTGTTGTATAGATGAGCCATTTTCCTGGGTTGATGTCTGTTGGACCAGAAGTGAACTGGGCCCTTTGTCTTCAGCTAAGGCTACCATGGGGGATGGAGATGAAGGGATGGTCTAACAGTCTTTTAGGAACTGGCATGATGTGGGTTTGGGGAATGAAACTGAAGGAACACAAAACATTCAGTTCAATAAACACATAGGAAATCTTTTTGCGACACGACTTTCGACATTTATTCTCGTGGGAACTACTCTCGTGCTCCCTTGGTGTACTCTATCAGTCATTACCCTAACCCTGTGAGGACTTGTTTTCAAATTAAGCAAGGCAATTGTATGTGTTTACAACCATGTCCCTATCACCCCTTCATGCCTTCGGCTACTCAGCTCTTTGGAGGTATAACTTAGAGGATCAGCCATTCCTTTTCTAGTCCTTTGCCTGCCCTTCAAATGGAGCCTGGTCCTCTCCCTTCCCTGGTGACACGTGTACCGAGGGAATGGATTTAAGTGCTTACTCTTGGATATGTTCAGGTTGGTTGTGTGGACACCTGTGCACTCCTCTGCTGTTGTATGGTAAAGCGTCTGCTTTGTCAGATCATGATAAGCTCAGAGGGCAGGATGCACCCCATTCTCATGGTAGTAAGGGGAATCCTTGAGGCCACACTCAGAGAGAGAGGCATCGGCCAGTGGTCAGTGAGGATAAGCATGAGAGATCAAGATGGAAAGAAGGCTCCCTCTTCTCTGCCCTTGCCTGCTTAGCTGCCACCTCGGAACCCTTTGACCTTGCCTGCGTCCAGGGTCAATGGAGCTGAGGTCATGGGGAAGCCCTATGGGGTGGTTAAGTTCCTGGCCGGTGGACCTCATCTAGATGACTGGGGTAGGCAGAGGCAGTCCTGGCCTGCAAAGCAGCTGCTACTCACTAGGCTGCAGAATGGCTCAGGAGCTTTTGATAAACACCTGGAACTCAGAGCCCTGGCACACAGGTTGCAATAGGGTCATGAGGGTTGGGAGGGCAGGGAGAATTTGTCACTAACCCTGAGGCCCACCTGCTCTGCTTTAAGCAGTGAAAACGGTTTGGAGAATTCCGGCAACGTTGTTCCCAGCCCCACCAGAGTGCAAGCCACTTGGACAGAAGTGCTGTTTGGGTCTTCTAGAAATCATCTGCACTCCCTCTCTTGAATGGAGGGTCTCCCGCTTCTCCCACACTCCAGGCATCTTCAGAGACCAGGCCCGAAGACTCTTCAGACCTCAAGGCATCTTCCGGACCAGGCGGGAGTCAGTGAGAGTCCCCTGCTTGCTTGGACGCTTTTGGAGCATCTTTCACGGGACACAGGGGCTTCAGCTTCAGCAGCCTCCATCTGGGAGCAGCCCCAGGCATGCGGTAGTCAGAAGGTTCCTGGTCTTGGACCATTGTCCTCCTTGGAGTAAAGTGCTCCTGGGGCCTTTGGGCAGAGCTCCGGATGGGCTGTATGGTGGGTCCCAAAACAAGGGGACGTAGCAAGGGACCACAGGGCTGAGCGCGGCCCCACGCCCGGGGTCTCATGTTCCCTTCACTGGCACATGCCCAAGCTGGCCGCTTCTCCGGCATCAGCTTTTTTCCTTTTTCAAGACTCCAGAGATAAATCTGATCATTCCCTTTCTTCCCTGGAAATGGATCTACGGATACCAGCGGTTCCGATCACCAGGGAAGCATCTTCTCGCTCCTCAACTCGCCCCGGTTCTGCTTCATTCTTTCCTCTTCTGCAATGGCATTCACACAGATGCGGCTCCCAGGCACGAGTCTGTCACACTTGCCAGTGACGGAGAAGGCTTTGCAAGCGCGTCTCGGGATCAGTAGGGCCCGTGGAGAGAGAGATGGCTGGGAGAGAGAAACAGCCGGGGCAAGCAGAGAGGTACAGAGACAAAGGGGAGAGGGACAGACGGAGCAGACGGGTTGCCACGTGGTCACTTGGCAGCTCTGTGCACGTCAGCTGGGCAGCGAGGGCCCAGGCTCAGCTGACCTCACCCTCCTGGGGGAATGGAGAGGGAACTCAATAAGAACGGTCTTCTTAGCCTAAACGCTTTTGCTATAAAAGGAGAAAAAAAAACCCTCACAAAATGCATTGTTTTGGTTTAAAGGTGTTGGGTCCATGGAGAAAAACATTTCACAAAAATTCGTTGGTGTTTTTGTTTTCCACCTTTTCCCATGAATAAATATTATCCATTAAGAGCCTTGAAAAAGGTGCTTAAATACACAGTGTTATATTTGCTTCCCGTTTTGCATGTGACAGCTTGGCCTCTGTGCTACTCTTGGCCTTGCGTTTTCCTCACTGGGGTCTCCAGAAACAACTGCTATTTGGTATGAGGCTTCCTCCTCCAGGCCCCGCCCGGGCACGCAGCTGACAGCCCCCAGCAGCCAGTCCCCTACCTCCCCCCGTCCCGTCCTCCGGCCCCAGTGAGACGCAGTCACAGGGCTGTGTCCACGCCAGCAGCATGGACCTCAGGTGCCCCTTTCGCTGCTGCCGCTTCCTTCCAGGCACGAGTCTCAGCGCTAGGGGTGTAACGGGGGCAGGCAGAAATGGTGCAGAAAGGGGGAGGGAGTGGTCCCAGCGGCCACCCGCCCACGTGCCAGCCCCCTTCACTCCCCGCTACCCCCTCTGGCCCACTGTCCAGTGGTTTTTACAAGGCAGAGACCTTGACAACATTGCTGGCTATGGAAGGAATGTTCGTGTTGGGGCCTGGGCTGGCAGGGGGTGGCCGAGTCTCGCCCTCTGGGGTTAGCGCTGGGGGAGCAGGGATGCTGATGATGGCGGTGGTGATCTGGGATGTTTTGCAGTTTGGTCTCAGTCCGTCGTCTGCTTTCAGATTAAGGCTGGAGCGACTGGGATAGAAAAGAGGGAGATGGTGACGGCTCCTGCTTGCCAGCACCCCAAGCCACCTGGGCCCCCACTGATAAAAGCCGGGAGGACACTGTGCTGTCCCTCTTCTCTTTGCCTCTGCTGACCGGCATGTCACTAGCCATTCTAACCCTTAGCCTAGTCTACCAACAATCCCAAAGTCGCAGTCAGCAGGTCTTCAAAGAGTTCATAGGAAAAATGATTCAGCTTATAAAAAAATACTTAGTGTTTTTGAGATTTTAAAATTGGCATGATCTTTTATTCCATTTTCTTTCCATGAACTTTTTGCAGTGTCCCTGCACACGGGGCTTTGCGGGTAGACATTTTCTCCCCGGTGGTTTGTCATCCATGACATTGGGCATTGGCTTGCCCCATTTCTCTGCAACTCATTTAGAGGCTGCCTAAACATACATAGAAATTCAAAATTGACCCCGGATAAGCCGTGTGTAATGCAACTGTGCAGATTCATTTCTTGAGAAAATGATTAATCCATTCTTTGCACCAGGGCAAGACATTTTTGGATTTGGGATTTTAACCTAAATCTGCTAGGGTATCCCCCAACAGCCTAGAAAAGGCCTTTGGGGGAAATTGCAAGGATGAGGAGGAAGGTGGGGGAGGGCAGGCAGAGGGGACTCATAAGGGGGCGTGGCTAGAGGCGTCCCGAGGCTCTGGCACCCCCGCATGGTTGGATTCTGAAGTCTGAGGCCTCTGCGGGCAGTGGGACGGCACCGGCTCACCTGGTGGTGAGGGAGGGCTGCTCGCTGCCCTGGATGTGGATGGTGCTGAGCTCCTGCATGCTGCGCAGCCGAGTGGCTGGCAGGTTGGAGTTGGGCAGGTGTGTGGTCTTCTTACTGCGGCGGGAGCAGCAGGTGGTGGTGAGGCCCGCGTGGCTGGACAGCGAGGGACTCCTGGTGGACGGGTAGTTCTGCATCGAGCTCTCCATGCAGTTCTGCTCGAACATCTGCTCATCAATGAACTCGTGGTTCTGTGGGAGGCAGGAGGAGGAGAAGTAGGAAAAGGCGGTGGCGGGGAGGGGGCTGAGCCCCCAGACTCTGCAGGGCTGCCTGTCTCTGTTCTGGGCCTTGAAGGAAGGGCTCCCCCTTGCCTGGATCCCAGATAAGCATTCAGGAGGGGGTGGTGTCCCACAGGCAGCCAAAGAGGAAAGGAAGAGAATCATAGTGGCAGCCCTGGCCATCAGACTGAAGGGTGGGGGCTGCGGCTGTTACACCCTGGAGTGAGACACACCCCGCCCACAGCTTTGAGCTGAAGGAGTACAGAGGACACGGGATTTGGTGCCATGGTCAGAGATGAAAGCAAAGACTTCGTTTTATAGGCTTTGTACAAGATCTGGCAGGGGTGGCAGCTAGGGAGTCACTGACTATGGGTAGTGGGGATTTGGGTCATCTTTTCTGAGTTTAATGAGTAAGATCCTTGGGAACCTGAAGGGTGTGACGTCAGCTTTTCAAGGGGCTGAGTTAGTCATAGAACTGGGAGAGCATTGCTCTTGCAGGCCAATTGGGTCAAACTATCGGGAATATGCTGTAAGTACTGTCTCTTTTTCACCTGATTATGGAATACGGCTCTTTAATGTACCTGGAGACTCGGGGTGCCCTAAGTCAACTGCAACCATGCGCAGGGTATGCTAACAGTCTCCTGACTGGAGGCCACGGGCATGAGGTGTAGCTGAACACAGGAAAAGTGAAAAATGGCTGTTTGGTCAAGGTGACTAAAAATCAATGGCATGAGTGGTCTGGCCAAGGCTGCCAGAGTGAGCAGAAAGTCGGAAGTAGCGTGTGAATAGAGTTCAGAGAGAGACCAACCCTGACAACCAGTCCCAGGAGTCCCCTCGGGGCTGGGGAGGTGGCCCTGACAGATGCGGCTTGTGGAAAGAGGATGCCAACACTGGCGCCATGTTCCACCAGCCTTCCAAGCCCCTGGGGAGGTCAAGATTGGGAATGAGAAAGGCAGTTGGGTAGCTCAGCACAAAAACCTGGAAGCCTGAGCTGGTACTAGGGTGACGGCAGAGGCAGGACGAGCCCCGGGAGAATCAGCAGCACATGCAGAGAGAGCCAGAGCAGGGGTGAGAAGAGGAGGATCCACAGACTCAGAAGAATCAGAGAGAAAGACATCAATTGAATTTGTAAAAAGTGATACCTTGATGGTGGAGGTTCGTACAGATAACAGGGGATCATCCACAAGATAGGACAACCCCTACAGGACAACATGCCAACAGAAGATAAAAACACCATTGATTGTACATTCCAGCATTCCCAAGCCAGTTTTGACATTCAACCTCTCAATCCCGGCATTCCACCCTCGGAGCCCAACATTCCACCCCTTGGCTGCCCCAGGAGCCTGCTCAAACCCAACATTCACTCCTCCCACCCCAACATTCCTCCCCTGAAATCCAGCATTCCACCCAGAATCCAACATTCTTTCCCTCACATTCAGCATTCCATCCCTGCAATGCCAGCATTCCATCTCTTAGTTCCAACATCTCATTTCTTCAATGTCAACATTCCAGCCTTTCAAACTCAGATTTTTTTCACCCATTCCCTTTCAATGTACACATTCCACCAGCACATGCGACTTGGAGAGGGCAGGGGGTCCAGGCCTATCCCTTTGGCAGGCTCCGAGCCTCCGAGAGAAAGTCTGGGCATGCATGTACATTTCTTGATGACAAATCCAGAAGCTCGGGTTTTGTAGAGGACCTTCCTGTTGTCCAAGTCCTTCCTGGGCTCAAATGCTCTGGTGCCTACATTTGTTCCAGATCCAGAGTCATCTAATATCCGCTCCCCCCGACACTGGGAGACCAGGCTATGGAACAATCGGGACAGGATCAGAGTCCCTTCCTTGTAGGCTGAGCCCTGCCTGAAGGCTCTCTGGGGAGGGAGAACCCAGAAAGGAGCCGAGGAAGGCTTCGCTTGGTCCTCTTCAGCTTGTCTGCCCCTCCTCCCCCGCATCCGTGCTACTCCTCAGCCTTCTGCCAAGGGTCCGGGGCTGAGCCCATTGCCCTTCCTTTCAGCCTGCTGGTGAGGCACAAGCATCATTCCACATTCCAGCCGCAGCACCCTAACCCACGCTGTAACAGTCAGCCTTTCCGCGCTGAACTCCTGGGAAGCTCAGGGTGACTGAGGGAGCGGTACTGGTTAAACCCTGCCTGCAGAAATCTAGGCACTGCCTCCTGCACTCACTGCCTCTGGCTTCCAGAGGAAGGCAGGATGCTTTGCTCCCTGAAGTCGGGGAGGGGAGAGGTGGGCACAAAACGCAGCCCTACTTTTTTTGGAGGGTGGTGCCCATCAGAATTGAGAAGCAGACAGGCAGGGGCCCTTGGTCCTCGGTAATCAAGAGATGGACTGAGGGGATTGGCCCAGGGGTGTGGGGGAGGGCTGGGGGCGTGGCCTCTATGCTGCTGCTGGACAGAGCCACCCTTCCCCAGCCCCCACCATGGCCCCTCCACCCCCTGTGACCTGGCCCTGCTCCTTAGGATCTTTCACCTGAAGGCTGATGGACAGCCCTCATCTCTACCTGTTGGATCTCGAAGCTACACACTTTGACCTTGGCCCAGGGTGAACATATGGGTCCAGTCTTTGGATAGGGCAGGGGTCAGGGATGACACGGGAGGTGGCAATGGGCTGGCACTCACAGTGGTTTTCTCCAGGCAGTGCAGCAGGTGATGGTGCTGGCTCTCGATGAGTGAGGCGGTCTTGCCCATGTGCTCCTCCTCAGGGGTACCCTAGTCAGAAAGAAAGGGAGACTGAGCAGAAGGCAGGCGGCCCCGCCCCTTGGCAACTCTCTCGGTTCTCCACGGAAGGTAGGAGGGCACCAGAAGCACCTGGGGGAACCAAACGTTAGGGCCAGCACAGAATGTGTTGGGCTGTGGTCTAGGGGCTAGTTTGGGGATCACGGTGAGACTCCTAGGAAGAGGTATGAGGGTGGCAGGGGCCGTGCCCTGGAGAGAGTTGGAAACATATGCTGCCCAGGGCTCAGACTGCGGCTCAGGGTGGCAGAGGTGCTGGTGCCCCGGAGAGAGAAGCAGCCCGTCCTCCGCTGGCTCCTTCCCTGCCCAGGCCCTCTGGGCACCTACCGTCAGCTCCAGCGCCTCGTTGAGGAGCCCGTTGCGCTTGCTGTGCAGGTAGGCGTTGGAGCTGCCCGTTTTGGCCACGCGGATCCTGGCAAGGCGGGCTTTCTGTGACGGGCAGAGATAACACAAGAGTGAGGGAGACCGGAGATCAGGGATACAAACAGGCAGCCACGAGAGGGGGTGCCCCAAGCGAGGCTGGCTTCCCAGGGACTGCCTGATGAAGAACTGGTTGCCTCTTCCCTGCCTCGTGCAGCCCTGGTCATAGATCCTGGAGCTGGGTCCGAGATGCTATGGAGTCCCTCTGTGGCAAGAATTCTGAGGCTTCCACTCAGGCTTGGGTGCCATCCTAGTAGGAGAGATGGGACTCACCCAGGGTCTTTCCTCCCCAGGGTTTCAGGACCTTCTTGTGTTTGTGCGCAATGCCACGCACTCGTCTACTGGAGCGTTTCCACTTTCTCCTTAGAGGAGTCTGTGGATGGCTGCCCTGATTCTCCCCTAGGGTCCAGTGCAGCTCCCTGCATAGGGCAGGTCCCTGAGTAACAGTGAGCTGTGATTAAAAGCAAGGAGTGTGGGTTTGTGCCTCTAGCACTTCTTAACTCCTTCTCTATGCTCTATTTTTGGCTTAGCACTTATGATTAAGGCAGCCAACATTTTATATATGAAGGTCACTTTTAAAGTTCATGGCCAATGGAGTTAAAGGACAAGTGCAGAAAAACTGAAATCCATGCACGGTTTTATTTTTCATAATAGAATTTGCCACAGACTTTTTAAAGACCCGCTCAGATTTATTTTGCTACTGCCACTCGCTCACTAGAAGATAAACACCTGGAGGGCAGGTATTCACACAGTACCCAGTGCCTGGACCACAGCAGGTTCTCAGTTTTTTTTTTTTTTTTTTTAAATTAGTAAGTGTTTGCAATTGCATGTGTGTCTGTGGGAGTGGATGCATGCCCGGGAGTGGCCACAAATGCCTACTTTGCTGTGCTTGTTTGTGGAATTGGTGTGGCTGCAAGAGAGAAGACCCAGAGAGGGCCGGGGTGGGGGGAGGGACACGGTTCTCCATGCCACTTTGGCTTTAAGTAGGACAACAGGAGCTCTCTCCAGCTCCACCCTGGGAAGCCCTCTGCAGAGAAGGCCCTGCAGGAGGCTGAATGGGATCTTGGTAGGAGCTCATCTCGCTCGCTTGCAGAGGCAGGAGACACTGCACATGCTGGCTGCTCTTCTCCTTCCTAATGACCATAATCAGTGTCGCCGTAACAGCAGCACAACCAGGCAGAGGACTAAGAGGGGAGTTTTTATTTTTTTTGGAAGAGAGGGAGAAGGAATGAGTGGAAGAGCTCCCACTGGTCTAAGAAAATAAAGCTTGAGGCATGGACTCTGTAGATCCAGGCCCAGCTTGTGGGCGAAGCAGAAGTGCTCTTATGCGTTACACACACATACTGGAAGAGACAGGTGGCTCCTCCTGCCCCAGCGCAGGTCCTCACATAACGTCAGCATGGGCTCGGAGTCAGGGGAGAACCCGTGGGAAATTGTGGCAATTTCCATGACTTGTCCCGCTGCACTGGTTCATCACCCACGTAGGTGTCTACGGAAGGCACCGAGGTCACATGGTATCTGCCATTTCCTGGGATGGCCAACATTGGCCATTATCACCTTGCAGGGACAGTTCCTCCCTAGCTTCTGAAATGGGAAAGAGGCCAGGCCTTGTGCCTGGAAGATCTTCCTATACATCGGAGGAAGGAGAGGATGAAAAGGGAACCTGGGAAGGAAAGCTAAGCAAGCCAGCCCCCCCCCCCCCCCCATCCTTTGTCCTCTCTGAGCAAAGAACACCGTTTCAAGGTCCGGGGCAATTCTCCTCCCTGAGAATCCTGCTCCGGCCCTGTTTATGCTCAGGCAAGTCCCTCATCATTTGAGAACGTGGCTGTGATTGCTTTGCGCGAGTGCTCAGTGCTGAGAGGTGCATATGGAAATCCAATTGTGTCAAGCTCATTACAGCCTTATATAATCTGATCGCACCACTTAGAGCCAACCCTTCTCGTATCTGGGGTCTGTCTTCATTACTTTCTAGAGATGAAAGATTCTCCTGTTCTCCTTTGTGGCACTTCTTTTAAACTTATCTTTCCCTGGGCTCCATTAAGGCAACAGACTGTCATATCAAATGCACCAGATCGTTTAATCACGTCCCACGCAGGATAAAGAGGTTTCTGGCGTGTTTACAGAAGCAAACCCAGCACATGAAATTTGGGGAGGGGGTGCTCTTTGGCTTGCCTTTGTGCTCCTGAGACCCAGGTCCTGTGTCCTATGCATACTTTTAACTCCAGCACACAAGGCAGGGCTTTGCACTGAGCAGGTGCTCAACTAACACCTGTCATGGCCAAGGAAAACAACCACACACAGATGGTTGGAAGCCCATGCTTCTGAAGGCTTTGCAATGGGCCCAGTCCTTGTGTGGATTGGTCAGCCTCACTCACTCACTTCTGTGGTGTGAGGACAATGGGAGGAAAGTCACGAAGAGGTCATGGGGGCCATTTCAAAGACAAGCAAACGCAGTCTGTGGGAGAAGAGACTTCTCCAGGGCAAGACGTGGACTTCAGCTCTGGTCTTCAACTGTCAGGCCGAATGCTGCTTCCCTAGCTGCTGCTGCTGATTCCTGCTCCTGAATGGCAACTCCTGTTGTACAAGTTTCTCAAGCTGATGAGGCACCCCCGGAAGTGGCATTTTCAACAGGTGTGGAGATGCCGGGCTTGGCGGAGGACCCTAGCGTGGTTCCAGGTGCTCTGTGTTGAGGACACCCTCGGGGGGCTTTCACCATTAAGCCCATCCTAGTGGTCTGGCTGGCAGTTGCCCTTTGACCATGAGCGTTTCTCTCTCTCGCCCTGGGAGAGGCAGACGAGGGAGAAAGTGGGAGAAATGGGAAGGCCGAAAGAGCACACGGGCAATTGTATTCTCAGGCATTTACCCCCGCATCAGTAAAGCTTCTGCTTACATAAACACCTGACTCGGATGCTCACAGCAGCTTCATCTGTGACGACCCCAAAATGGAATCATCCCAGACGCTGTTCAGCGGGCAAGTAAACACACTGGTGTAGGCACGCCGTGCAGCAGTGCTCAGCAAGAGGCACGGACAGACCCACAAGTCACTCGGTCGCCACCTGGAAGGCTCTCCAGGAGGTAGCTGGAGCGAAAACGGCCACTCCCCACAGGTTAGCTGCTGTGTGAGCCCAATTTTGAAGTGAAAATGTTTTATGAATGGAGGACAGATACCTGGTGGCCCCACATTAGGGCTGGGGTGGAGGCAGGGTGGGGGATGTGTTTATAATAGAGGAGCAGCGCAGGGTACTCTGTGGCCCTGCACTGTTCACTATCACAGTCATCAGGCTGTGCTGGTGGAGAAATGAAACAGTGGATGATAAAACTGTAACACACACACACACACACACATACACACAGTAGAAGTGGGGCAATACGGATAGGATTGGTGAGTTGTATCCCTATCCTAGCTGTGATACTCTTCTATGTAGTTTTGTAAAATGTTACCATTGGGAGAAACTGGGAAAACCATACAAAGGATCTCTCTGTATTATTTCTTACAACTACATGCAGATCTACAATGGACTCAATGAAAACATTCCATAACAAAGAACATGGGCATGGACCAGAACTGGAGACGGGCACCAAATACCCATTCTGGGTGTTCCCCTCTCTCTGTCCACTATGACACTTCCCACAGGAGCTCCCATTCACTTAGCTCAGAGGACATAGTCTCTGACATAATCGCACACCCATCAGTCATGCCGGGGAGTGGATGCCGACGTTAACTGCTTTGCGAGCCTTGACGCTCAAAGCACGGTGCGGGGCAGTCGGGGGGTGGGTGGTAGCGGCTAGAGCTTAACCTTTGTGGCTACTGCAGCTTCAGGGCTGCTGCCTGGGCTGAGAACCATCATCAGCTTCCCCTGACTTCCTCCCGACCCATCTCCCCAGCCCCCACGCAGTCCCCTGGACCTGCCTGCCTGGCTCCATGGTGACAGACAACCCCCCGCCCCCGCCCCTGAAGCAGGCATTGTTAGTTTTCCCCTTTTGCAGGAAGCCCAAGGTGAAAGAGACAGCAGAGCAACCTTGAGGAGAAACAGTATCCAAGCTAGGTGAAAACACTGTAGATATTTACTCTGATTTCAGAGAGAGAGAGAGAGAGAGAGAGAGAGAGAGAGAGTGAGAGTGTGGAGGCAGCCAGGAGGGAGGCTCCTCTTCAGCAGCTAGAGGGAGGAGTAAGCTGAAGATACTCCTTCTGGATGCAGTCACACCGGATGAGCTTATACAGTGCCCGGGGAAATGGCCGCTGCTATGTTCTTCCCGGGACAGAAAGCTCTAAGGAGTGGGTGAGGCTCGGGCATGAAGGGGAAGCAAAGGCGCTGCAGGAGCTGCCTGGAGCACAGCCGGGGTGGCTCACAGGTGCCAGCTCAGCCACAGGCCAGCCAGGGACTCCCGTGACTCTCTGCTCTCTGCCAAGACCGGGGTCAGCCCTGTCTCCTGGGAGACAGTGGGGCAGGGGTGCTGCAGGGTCCTTGGACCTTCAGGGCCTCAGGCTCCTGGTACTGGAAAGGAGACCCCAGCGTGTTCTCGCCCCTTTACTAGGACTGCATAATTGACTTCGACGTTGCTCAGATTTGCCAGCTGACTTGACCGTGGAGACAGAAGCCTTCTACTTCTGGGTGGCTGATAGCGGGTGAGAGGGTGGGAGGAGGGGGGCAAGGAGGCTAGGACCTTGAGTGAAGAGGGAGGAGACAGGTGCCAGAGAGGAGCCAGAAGATGAGTGTGAAGGCTGTGCTGTTAGACCAGGTCAAGGTCAGCACAAACCTGGTTCAGCACAGGCAGAGGGGAGCAGAGGGGCATGGAGGGGCTGGCCACAGGGCACAGGCCAGGTGATACGCTCAGGGAGGAAACAACTGCATCTAGGACATAATTACATCCTTGTATAGGCAAACGACTGCAACATGGCCATCCCTTGGTGTCTGTGGGGGACTGGCCTCAGGCTCCTCCAAGGTTCCCCAAATCCACAGAAGCTGAAGGCTCTGGCATAAAATGCCATGGTATTTGCATGCAACCTACACAATCTTCCTGCACACTCTTAGTCCTCTCTGGATTACTTATAATACCCAATGCCATGTCAGTGCTATGTAAGTAGTGGGCATACCGTGTTGTTTAGGGAACAATGGTCAGAAGGAAAGTCTGTACCGGTTTGGTACAGACGCGTTCCACCCCGCTCCCCCGCCCCACATTTTCCATCCGTGGCTGGCTGTGTCCACAGACACAGGACCCATGGATCTGAAGGCATGCTGTAGAGTTTTATAAAAGAATCCTCAGAGGCCAGTCCTGTGGTGTGGTGGGTAAAGCCGCCGCCTGCAGTGCCAGCATCCCATTTGGGTGCTGTTTTGAGACCCGGCTGCTCCACTTCTGATCCAGCTCTCTGCTATGGTCTGGGAAAGCAGTGGAAGATGGCCCAAGTCCTTGGGCCCCTGCACCTGTGTGGGAGACCTGGAGGAAGCTCCTGGATCCTGGCTTCGGATTGGCGCAGCTCTGGCCATTGCAGCCAACTGGGGAGTGAACCAGTGAATGGAAGACCTCTCCCTGCCTCTCCTTCTCTCTCCGTGTAACTCTGACTTTCAAACAAATAAATAAATTAAAAAAAAAAAAAGAATCCTCAGACATTTTGCATCTGGCTTTCACCTACTCAGCACTCCCAGATCCATTCTGAAATTCTGGATGCCTTTGAGCCAGAGTGAAGCCCTGCTCCCTGGGGTGTTCCTGCAAGTGGAAGGCCGGTAGCAGGGACCATGTGGCAAGGAAATAATCCAGCTGCCACGCAGAGGGCCTGCGCACGGCAGGTGCTCAGCAAATTCTAGTGGAATAAATGCACACACGCGCGTACACACACACACAGAGAATAAAATAAGGAGACAAAACCCCAAGCCTCCGTACGCTGATCTGTCAGTAAGGCTCCCTCCTGCCCAGGCCACCTGGAAGGGCTCTGACCACGCCCCTGGAAGCCGAGCTGCTGCTCCAGGGGTGCCGCACTTCAGCCTGGATCAGAAGAGGCGTGGAAAACTCCTGCTCAGACATCCCTTTGCTGATAGGAGCCCTGGTCAATGTCAGTATCCCAGAGCCTTCACTTGGCATGTGCCTGAGACACTCAGCCAAAGAGGAGCTGGCTGAGTGGTGGAGCTGTTCTGTAGAGAAGGCTGAGGGCTCCCGGGAGGAGGGGGCTTCCTTCTGGGCACCATGGCCTTCCAACCCCGCAGATGACAGTATTCCCCCTGCCAGCCTGCGTCCTGGTGCATGCTGGGCATCACCAGAAAACCTCTCTGGACTGCGGGGCACTCCCGACAGCAACTGCGTTCTGTGCCCCTCCCGATGTACCCCGGAGGTGACGAAAGCCTGTGTGTGCTCTGTCCCCGGAATCAAAGGCCTCCTAGTAGTCTCCTCCCACAGCGTTCATTTTTCTTTCCAGCACATTTGTTTGTGTCACTAGGCTTTGTGTAGGCTGTCACAGGATTTTAAACAGAGAGTCTGTTCCCTGGTGAGCTCTTGGTTGGGGCAGGCAGGTATCCAGGAACTGCCGAGTGGCCATGGCTGAGGGACCAGTGGTGGAGCCAGGGACCAAGGGAGTTGCCATAGGATATTCCAAAGGGCCACTTTCAGATAACTGAGGGTTTGTGGCTTTCTGCAGCTGGCCGGGAGCCAGAGTCAGGACACTGGTGGGTAGGAAGGGACATGAAGCTGCCTTACCTTCCATGACCAGAGACTGCCCATGCAATGAGCCTCCGAGGACTCCAGGCCTGGCCACCTGACTGCGCCCCAGCTGCACCAGGCCAAGATGCAGGCCTTCCCCTGGGGCGGCCCCTCTGCTCCCCGTCCCTGGGTGGGAGGCTTACCTTTTGTGCCCTGCGTTTATCAGCTCTCTGGTTCTGGTGGTAAATCCGGCTGAAGTTGGAAACAATCACGGGGACTGGCAGGGCAATCACCAGGACGCCACTCAGGGAGCAGATGGAGCCGAAGATCTTCCCTGCAATTGTCTTGGGCACCATGTCTCCATATCTGAGGGAGAGAAGCAGGCAGTAAGGAAGAGAGGGGCCATTCGGGAAACAAGCCAGGCTTCCCAGCCCATCATCCGTCCATCCATCTAGCTATCCGTCTAGCTACACATCCACCTGTCCATTCATCCACTCGTTCACCCATCCAGTTATTCATCCATCCACTTTATCCATCTATCTATCCACCTATCCCATCCATCCTTCCACTCACCAACCAGTCTACCCATACCTCTACCCACCCACCCACCCACCCATCCACCCAGCCACTCATCCATCCATCCATCCATTCATCCATCCATCCACCAACCCACCCACCTATACCTCCACCCACCAACCCATCCATCCATTCACCCACCAAACCATCCACCCACCCACCCACCAACCCATCTATCCATCCATCCATCCATTCACCCACCAACCCATCCACCCACCCATGCATCCATGCATCCATCCATCCATCCATCCATCCAATATCAGTGCCTGTGATGTGCCAGGTACTGTGATACAACCTGATAGTAAACAAGAGACAAAATCCTTATGTTAATGGATCCAACCTCCTACAAGGGAAAGACCATAACAAGTCAGGGACTACATAGAAACCATGCCTTAGAGTTGTTTCTAGGAAGAGAAACAACCAGGTGGCAAGAGGATGGTCAGGAAAGGGCTCTGTGAGGAGCTAACATCGACCCTGAGACCCGAATGAAGGTGAAGGACCTGGCCACGGCACACCTCCAGGTGGTGGAGCGGAACACACAGAAGCCGGGGTGGTAGGGAGGATCTCAGCCTGTTTTGGGAGCTGTCAGAGGGCCAGCAGGAAGGGGTTTGGTGAGAGGGGGAGGAACTATGCTACAGGGGGCCGAGGAGGCAAGAAGGGGCCAGACCATGTGGTGTCTGGTAGGCCATGGTGGGGAATGTGGGTTCCAGTGAGGGGCAGGGGTGAGCTAAGCAGAAGAGCCACAGGGCCTCATTTAGGAGATTAAAAATGACGGTAAACCCACTTCTGTTCACATGGGGCTCTGGCATTCACAAAGCACCTCCCAGACTCGCTCACAGCTTATCCCCACTGAACGGAGGCAGAAGCTGAGTCTCAGGACACCACCTGGCTGCCCTTGTTTCTGACCTGGGGCCATAACCCATTCCTCTGGGTTTTCTCTCTTTCCTACCAATCCCAAGGGTTCCGAGGAGACTGTAAGCTGTGACACTCAGCCCCACAGCCAAGCTGGGATGGGGCAGCTCCTCTCTCAAGTACTTCACATCCCAGCAGCTGCCCCTGGGGCTGCCGTGGCCTGGCCCATGCTCAGGCTCAGGCAGGCAGGCCCGACGCTCTCCCCTCCAATCAGCAAGACACCTTCCACAGCCTCCTCTTTACAGAGATTATCTAAAGGTCTCATTAAGCCAAGAGTGGTGATAACTGCTTTGGCCAAAGCCAGAAGCAGCACCTCTTCCACCCCTGTGCCCCCAGGTGCCTGCAGCAGGAACAGGCTCAGGGTGACTAGAAGGGAGCCCCAGAGCCACGTCACGTGCCCCTAAGACCACGTCATGTGGTCCCCATGGCAGATGGGGAAAGCTGTTTTGGAAACAGGAGGCCCTTGCCTCCTGAACACCCAGGGCTGTGAAGAGCACAGGGCAGTGACTGACAGGTATTTGGTGAACGAATGAATGAGCTCATGGGAATCTCTCAACACCCTATGACACAAGCTCCTGTTTTAAAAAATTAATTACTTGCAAGGCAGAGAGACAGAGAGACCAGGCAGAGAGAGACAGATAGATAGACACCGAGAGATCTTCCATCCCCTGGGTCACTCCCCAAGTGCCTACAACATCCAGGGCTAGGTCAGGCCAAAGCTAGGAGCCCAGAACTCAATCTAGGTCTCCTATGTGGGTGGCAGGAACCCAACTACTTGAGCCATCATTGCTGCTTCCCAGGGTGCACCTTAGCGGGAAGCTGGAATCAGGAGTGGAGCTGGGACTTGATCCCCATACTCTGAAATGGGATGCAGGCATCCCAAGCAGCACCTTAACCACTGTGCCAAATGCCTGCCCCAGGCCCGTTTTGAGAACTGTACTCCTGCCCAGGGCTCTGTTTTGGCTCAGTTGATACAGGTATGCACAAACATAAGGCCTGAGAGAGCACCCTCTGGGTCCCTGTGGCAGGGTCTACCTCCTCATCCATAAGACTCCTGGGTGAGAACTTGGATTTCAAGATTAGATGGCCTGTGGTCAAGACCTACCCAGCTGCACCATAAAATAACTGTGTAATCTTGGCGAAATGTTACTTGGGCCTCAGTTTTCCTCATCTATCAAATGGACACAATGATAACCCACGTCACAATCCTATGACATAAATCTATGTCATAGCTGTGACATTTCCAGTGCACAAGCAATGAATGCTATTCCTTCTGGCCTCCTGGAAAGCACAGTCTCTGAGAATATAACAGGTTGTCCAAAGTTCAAACAATCAACGCTGGGAACAAGGAGACGGCCCCTGAGATGTGTCACGTTAGCTGGGACTTTCAGACGACACAACTGAAAGGTGGCCAGTGCGCACATAGCCGTGGCTGAAATGAGGCATGGTTGGGATAGGGATGAACTGTGTCGGGGAGCTGGCAGGTGACGGGTGCCAAGGACAATGGAAAGGCGGCTGTATACATCTGAAGGACCAGGAGGGATGCTTTGCTTCCTGCGGGGTGGCTGGTCCGTGAGCAGCAGAGGACGGAGAGGAAGCAGAGTGGCCACTCCGCTCCCTCATTCTCACTGCCTTCTCCACCCAGGAGAGCATGCTTCGTCCTGGAGAGGCCACGGCAAACACGGATAAGAAGGATCCGTAGCTCCACAGAGGGGAGGCGCATGCAGGCAGGCACCCAGCTGAATTCACTGGATACTGACTTTACCTCCCGGGCATGCATGGACCCCACCCTGGGAGACGGGAGGAATGTGCTGATGGGGCTGTGGAACCCCGGTTCGTGACTGGAGAAATCACAGCGCCGCAGAGAAATACCGAGGTCTGAGAAGCTGCAGACCCGCAGGCTTGGCACCCATCGATTTTGCCTTCAGATCTCTGGCAGCATTTGAGAGCGGATGATTAAGTGGACAGCTTGTGAATACTTGGGAAATAAGCTGTATTGCTTCGCGATGCGCACATCTTGCCAAATGAACCCTCATTCTGGTTCTGAGAGCAAACGGTAACCGGCTGGTGGATCCGGAGACTGCCTCGGACCTCCTGCATCGTGATTTCAGCAAGACGTGATAGTGTTCCTGTTCTCCATCCCCGTGACAGGCAGCAGGAATGTGGGGTGGGGGGCACCGTGGTTAGCAGAGGTTGCACAATCATCTCCAGTCTCCTGGGACCCTCAGAGTTGACCACGGATAGTCCCATGCCAGCAGCAAAGGGGAGACCAGGGGCTTCACATCAGACAAAGGGTCTCTTTTACAGTAAAGTAATAAGTAAACGTAATAAAGGATGGACCTGAAGTTAAGTCTACAGTGGGGTGTTCCAGCATTTTTTTAACAACTTGTCTAAAGCCAGAGGGAGGCAGCATGGCCTCATACTTGAGTGAGGAGGCTGGCATCAGAGCTGGGTTTGAACCCTACCCCCACATCACTTCGTAACGCGTGAAGTGACCTGGGGTAATTCATTTAACCTGAGCCTCTACCTCCTAGAAAACAGGTTTTCTATGCCCGGGGTTGTTGTGATAACTACTGAGGTCATTCAGAGGAAACATTCAGTGTTTGGATAACCACAAACTCTCAGTTACCATCAGCGCAGGCACCTGGTATTCTGCCTGCTAATACCCTCCCCCATCTCGGAGCCATCACCTTCCCCTACCAATGAGACAAAAACTCTGCCCAGGGGAGCTGTCACACTCTTACAAACCCTCCCTCTGTCCCTATCCCTACTTGGCACAGCAAGTTCAAAATAGGATATCTGGGGGCCAGGGCTGTGGTGCAGTGGTTTAAGCCACTGTTGCAGCACTGGCATTCCATGTGGGCGCCAGTGTGAGTCCAGCTGCTCTACTTCCACTCCAGATCCCTGCTAATGCATCTGGGAAAGCAGCAGCAGATGACCCAAGTGCTTGGGCCCTGCTACCCACGCGGGGAACCTGGATGAAGCTCTTGGCTTCTGGTTGCAGCCTGGTCTATCCCAAGCCATTGCAGACATTTTGGGGGTGAACCAGTGGATGGAAGATCTCTCTCTTTCCTTCTCTCTCTGTATCTGTAACTCTACCTTTCAAATAAATAAATAAACCTTCAAAAAAAAAAAATAGGACATTTGACCCAAGCTGGGCCAATGAGTCCCTTTCCTGGATTTATTTTTTAACAACCTCACTGAGAGACAGTTTGTATGCTGTGGGGAGCAACTCGGACTAGACTGTTACTGGAATTAAGACTTACTCTATACATCTGCTCTCCCACAATATGGCGCTGGGAGAGGAGTAAACAGCTTCTACGCAGCTGCCTCTCGCCAACTTGAGTGATGACCTGCAGGAGCTGATCCTGCTCCTGATTGGAGGAGAGCAGCATACTCGGTGTGTGGGTAGCAGAGTTGGGATTGGTGGAAGAGGACTATAAAGGAGGAGAGAGACAACATGCACCAGGAACATCTAAGGGGAACACCTGAGCAGCCCCCGAGAGAGCCGGCCGGCGGTGTGCTGCTCCCCCGCGGAAGTGGGGAAAGTGGCAGGGGGAACCGCCCTTCCACGGAGGTGGAAGGGTCGGTAGCCAACCCGGGAAGAACCAGCAGCAAACCCGGGGAGGGCCAAGCAGACAAAAGAACAGTGCAGGGTCCTGTGTCGTTCCTCCACGAAGAGGGGGAGCGACAGTATGCTGGACAGTTAACCCATGTAACTTGCACACTGCAGAGCTGTGCTTCATCACCACAGTCCAATCACAGTTGCACAGAATATGTTCACAACACACTGCTGGGCAGCCAGCGACAAACTCCACACCTCACCTCTCCATCTGGGCAACTATTACTCTACTCTCTGTGGGTTTCCCCATTTGGAC